CTTGTTTTGGTGAACAACAAGAATAAATGATGCATCATGCGTGAAACGGAATGCACTTCATGTCTTAATGCTCTCTCCTCGCGATCTCTTCTATTTGCCAATCAATCTCCATAAATTTACGTATCTGACCCTTTTAACACAAATACGAGCAGTAATTTATACTACCTTTAAGCTAGTAAATTGTAGATTCCACGGCCTACAATTTTAAACGGATATCCTTCAGAAGAATGTACCTATAAACGTCTACTTTGGACGGGTATCGGAAGAACTCATTATACTTTATCTGCGGTGAGCGTATCAATCACTAAGTCTTTACTACTGCCTGGTAACTCAAGTAGTTATGGCAGTATACGAATATATGACTTATTCCTGACAGAAAGAACGTAGCTGTGTCGACTGACTATGCACAATCGATATTTACAGTATAACTTGTTGCATATAAAGTTCAATGTAATGTATAATAAAGATAGAAAATAATCGAATAAGTGCTGTCAGTTATAAGTCACGTTACGTGAAAACATTATAAATTTTTTATCTGCGAAATATAGATCTTTACATTAAAAGATTATAAGATATATCTTTCGTTCTGCATAATAGCACATTGTATGCTTTACTTGAATTTCTTCTCTAAATATCTCTACTAAAAATTTTATTTTATCTGATATACTCTTGAGACAAAATATAAATAAAATACGAATAGTTATACGCGTCAAATTAAGATAATAATGGGAAATTAATATTAAAATGAAATGTTAACAGAAAAAAAAAAGAAAATAAAAGCAATATTGTTAAATGAATTTTAGTTAACATTTATGTTTATTATAAATATATAAAATACATTATATATTTTGTATGTGGGAAATAATTTATTAGCATTTTAAAATAATTTGTTATTTTAATGAATGTTTTTTTTCTAAATAACTATGAAATTGTAGCAGAGAAATATTTACATTAATCGCATAGAGTGAACTAGAAATTATTTTAAAAATCTAAGTATAAAAGACGTTAGATTAGATTCTTGGATTAATTTACTGCTTCTTATTTGATCATTCGAAGCTTCATTTCTTTTTTATTTTTATGTAAAGTTAGATTGACTAATTGACATACGTATTTTGTAAAATTAACTGGCTTGATATTGTTATTTATTTTGCAACAAATACAATTTATATCAATCATCAATACTGTAATTTATGAAAAATTTTTAAGTAGTTAGTGCTCGTAACATATTTAAATAGGCAACCGATGTCTTAATTACCTGTTTAATAAACGTTTATGAGTCATGCAATTAAAAATTTATTCTGTAAAACTTATTTATTCTATTAAACTATTAATTTATATAAATACTTACATCACCGAAACTGGTCATAGATAATTCAATGATATTCCCAGCAGTAAGTTTAACCGATGAATTGGATATCGCAATCATTAGTACAATAGCTAGAGCTTTCCTTCCTGATAGACGATGCCAATCGATCATATATGATATCTCACTAACCCTCTTGAACTATGTACAGGATTGATTCATTAATTTATTAAATGAATTACAATCATACATTTATTTTTGCATTTGCAGCAATAAACATTTTTTTTTTAATTTTGGCGATACCAAATCATACCTGCTCGGCAACAAGTTCACCTATGTAACAAAATATGAAAAGATTAAAGACGACACTCATAAGCAGAATAATGTATGTTATTGCAAAGCCGTCTTCCCATTCCTGCAATTAAAATTTTCTATTTTCGAAAACATATTTTGCGTACATCATCCGTATTCCAATATTGCAGAAGTGAGTTTTACCACATATTTTACACGATGTGCCTACCATAATTGTATAATATCCAAGGAGACATATATTGAGCGTATTTCCCATAACTTCCACAAGAGATATTTTGTGCAATACTTTTTCTGTTAACTCTATAAAACTGCAAAATAATCCACGTATGTGGTTGGAAATACGTATAACAATCATAATATTACAAATAAGAAAATAGTATATAATTTATATAATTATTTTTGAGTGAGTCTCACTTAACCAATCAATTTTTCTTGTTTTTAAAAAAATATTATTACATCGTAATGATAGTGTTATAGTAAAAAGAAAAGCATTATTGCACAAGCATTATTGTAGATAAATTATAGACAAGAGATGATGAACAGTTTACAATTTATTCTTTAAATGTTATTACGAAAAATTAAAATAAATGAGGATATTGAATATGCAACATATTTAAAGGAGATAATATATAATTATTTTTTGAATAGCGGTCTTACCACAAAATTCGCACATGTTCTTGCACAATTATGGCCAGCCTATCGTCCACGTTATTAGAAAAATCCTCTCTCCCGTCCACTAAATGCATAATCCATTGCATGAGAACCTCCAGACGGCCGTAAGCGTGTACTGCCAAAACGGCAGTCAAACCGCAGGTAGCGGTCGCGACGGTTTGCGAAATGACAGCCGACACGAACTGAGTCCAAAAGAAAATCTCATTAATTGGACTGTAACGCGTGTCGACTATCACTCTTGCGACCGGATACGCCAGTGGCTGATACGTCAAATTACTCTCTGTAATCTTGCCCATACCAATCGGCATAGCGATGTGAAAGAATATGGCACCACTATACGCGAAGAACCCGTTGATCACTATGAGACGACGGCCGAATACCGCGTTTCTGGTCATAATCGCGCGATCGTCGTGATACCACGTTTTCGTCCAATCGGTCTTGATATGTTCGATACATACACGAATATCTCTCCTACGAAAGGCCAGTGTGCTGTACTTCACGATAGTCATCAGGCAAAAAGACAACGGCCCGATGAACTTCAAGGTATTGTATATGTCTTCGACTTCAAGCACGACATAGAAAACGCACGGTATGAAGACAAAAGTCACTATACCGACACAAATTACGTTTATTAGCACGCGCACATATTTCATTATCGGAGAAGAGAATTGGAATGAATTGGGCCAAATGCCAATTGACTTCATTATCCAACGGATCTGCTGGATACTTAGCCTCGCGTATTTTTCATGATCGTAAACGGTCGCTACCGGATTTGAATTCTGAATAGAGGGTGATTTCTGCATCATTAAAGCACGGAAGCTTAGAGAGTACTGAAAGGACCGAGTCGAGGATACGTAGACCCCGTTAGTTAGTAGAGTCACGTTAAGCGCTTGCGCGCTCAACTACAAGGAAAGAGCGATCCACGTCATGAAGATGAGGGGTGAATTTTATAGTCATATTGACAATCATGAAGGGTAAGATAGGATTTTATCTTCTTTTTCCTTGTATGATATATTGGTTACTGTATTCTGAATTAAGTGCGTAAGGCATATAACTTCTTCCACGAATATGTTTTGCGAGAAGAATCGGTAAGAATCGCGATTCTCATTCTGTTTTATGAATTCGTCATTGGAGTAAAAATATTGCATATATATAAATTTATACGTATACATATTCATAAATTTAGATAATTAGATAAATATGTATACGTATTAAATGTATTAATATTTCGAAATATAATGACCATATTTTGAAATCCATTAGGGAATTTAATTGTAAATAGTACGAGAGAAAAAAATTAGAAAAACAAGATACGAAAGAAGTATCACATTGTAAAATACATGTCAAAGTTTATACACATCTTTTTATTTAAATCTGTATTTATTTCTTATTCTTATTCTTATATACTTTCTTTAATGTCATACTAAATGATTAATATGTTACATTTACAGAAAAAAACATGCTAATTATTTAATACAGGGGACTATTCTCCAATGACCTTGACTTTGACATATGTTGTCAAGATCATGCTCCCGCTAAAGTAATCTTTCTATATGTTTTAGTTTTTAGGCGTTGTTTTCAAAAATGATGTGTATAACCATATAGTACAATCAGCGTGCGCTCCACAGGCATATGAAAGAAGTAACCACACTCGATCACGACAAACAGGACTAATTGTAAAAAGAATGTTTATTAGCCATTAATACTTTTAATGTAAAGATTTTAATATAAATTGCATATATAAAATTTAACGTTAGTAGTACAAAGATGCTTTCAAAGTAAAGACAATACCATTGTGCATTGACAATATCCATTAGAGTAAGACTGAAAATTTTATGGGATAATATGTGCATGGAGGCAAGAATACATATTCATTCTCTTCCTCTAAAGCATTGCGTACTTTTAGACAACATGTAATTACTACAATTTGATTGACACTACTTGATAGATGCTTGTATCATATAAGGAAGAACTGAAATATATAATAAAGAATATTATTTACTATTTTATTGTCGAGAGAGAGAGAGAGAGAGAGAGAGAGAGAGAGAGAGAGAGAGAGAGAGAGAGAGAAAGATTATCCTTTGATAGTAAAATGTGTGAGAAAAGTTCTTGATTTTTGCAATGAAACAATTAAAACCTAGAAACAAAAAATTATAATAATATAATCGATAAAATATTAATTTTTACTTCTAATTCTCAAATATGATCAAATAATAGAATGAATTTTCTATAACTTAACCCACACTGATAAAGCTTCCCCTACAGTGATGCTAACTGAATTATTATTATCTACATCGAGACATTAACTATGCGTACTCATCGTCACTTCTACTATATAATACACAATTTCTAAGCATAGACTTTATACTCATATTAATTTTCTCTAATTTCTATCATTCATTGATGCATCCGTTATCATATATGTGCTTGTATGTTTATATGTGTAGATTAGATTTGTATTAGATTTATGTATGAAACACAATTCCTATATGAAAAACTTTATATATTTTTAAATATATCTAAATAGAGAATATTACAAATACTCATATTTTATTATTTACATTTACAGCATTTACATAGTCAATGTTCGAAGCATATTTAAATATGCGACCGATGTTTTAATTACCTAAAATATTTAATAATTAATTTTGCATTTTAATAAATTTTATGTATATTACATGTTTAAAATAAAGTTATGCTATTTTAGATTACTTTTTGCGATATCTTTAGTAATAAAAAATACACTAAATATTTTGATTTTATTAGAAGTTATATTTATAATTTTCATAATACTTACAACACCAAAAGTCTGGATAGACATATGAAATATTTTTCCAGCTGTAATTTTGGTAACAATTCTTGATCGCAAGATTATTAAAATAAGACCAAGAACGATTTTATGCGGCAATTGATACCAGTCCGTCATATAAGCTACTTCACCAACTTTTTTACACTATATAAATCACATAATGAATCCATTAATCCAAGTGTGAATAATGTTTTAATTGCAGATAAACATATGAGGAAAGCTTTTGAAATGGAACACAATTACTTTATGTACCTGATTCGACACGAGTTCGCCAATGAAGCAAAATATGAAGATATTAAACATCATTGCTGTTAACACCATGATATATGTTATTATAGTATTTATACTCTCTTCATGCCATTCCTGGAAGAGAGAATACACAAAGTAATAACATTTACAACTAT